GCTGAAAATTCCATACTTGTACCAAAAATACGATGTAGGATCAAGCTATAATGAAAAATAACTCAGACTACTTTCTGAACAGTTCTCGACATTATGATTAACCTTCTTAAACGCATTTCTGTGCTCCACTCTGTTCTTTGTTTGTGTTCCCTTTTTGTATAATACTCTCAGTGGTATGATCATACATCAGTTGGAATGGAAATTTCTTTGTCTGTTACTTGCACACAGACGCAGTAAGACAATGTCAGGACTAATGTCATACCGGACTCCTTTAACAGCCATGTATTCTTTCAGGATATATGGCTTCTGTTTCCTGTGTCAACTCTCTTGATCTGTGAATGGTAAGACGTTAGTTAGTTGTTGTTCCCATCCACTTGATACTTGCTTATCTGCAGCGGGTTGCTAACTCTTCACCTTGAAAACATGAAACTTGGTATGATACTCCTTTTTGTTTAAAGAAAAATTTATTTCTGCTCATTGGTTGGGAGTTACAAAAGTATTCAAGCATGTCGTGTGCTCTATCACTAGCAAAAGATATCGGTACTTATGTGCTTCTATATGAGTAGCCTTCAGTATACTGTTTCTTGTGTTGACTTACAATTATTATGATGCTATAAAGCCTAAATCAATATATAGTTGCCCCAGATTTTAATTCATTGTGATAGCAGATAAATTTTACCCCACTTTTGTTTGAAATGTGAGTCATCCGGTGTTGTTCTTTTCTCGACATGGGCGTTCACCTAAAGTTAACTAGAAGAAAGTGGAGTTGTAGAAATTTTTCGACTAAGAACACCTTTTATATTGAGGCAATTAATAAGAATTATTCCTTGGCTATTAAACCAAAACAGGGCAGCAGTCAACGGAATGCATAACAGGGAGGCGTAGACTTCTTGGTTAGTTGGGATTGTCGGGATGATAAAACCCAGTGAGTTGCTGGAGATTACTGGAGATATGGTTGAAAATCGTTCTCAATGTCTGGCGCAGATGCATTCACCTTTTCTAGTCTCCAATATCTATCTAGTAAACCCTAATCTTTCGCAATGTTACTGTTCACCAGTGTTCCCAACAGTCGCTGACCTTTTCATGAATAGATTCGAAGATGACATCTTTTAAAGGATACTCACTCCGAAAATATGGTTCAGATATGTAGATGATATTTTTTTAGTGCTGAAATGAGATCTACACAGTTCATTCCTGGATCAAATAAACAGTCTATCTCCTAGAATCCAGTTTGCTTCGGAAGCGGAATCAGATATCGGTGAACTACCATTTCTGGTTAAGAGGAGGGATAAAGGACATTTTAGTATACTTATATTCAGGAAGAAAACCTACTCCAATAAATATTTAAACTTCGGATCATCACACACCATCAGCGCAAAGATATCAGTTGTTTCAAGTTTTCGTAGATGAACACACTCGCTGATAACGGCTGAGTAAGAAAAAGAAATATCAAGCATTACTGAGACTCTCAAGCAAAATAACTACCCATGGAACTTCATCAACAAAATCAACAGTGACATTAAAAATGGTCGAAAACGTATTCCGAAAACATGGACCTCGACAGCTATCATTCCATATAGAGCAGAAACATCAGACGATATTAGAAGAGTACTCGACATCAGAGTTCTCTTCAAAACATCAGACTCATCGCGAAACAACCTTGTCCATATAAAAGACCAAATCCCTAAAGATTCTCTATCTAATTGTGTCTATAAAATAAAATGCTTGCAATGTGATCCAATATACATCGGACAAACATCTCGAGAAATCAAAATCAGAAGAAATGAACATCGTAGAGCATCTGTTCAACCACCAAGAAATCCAGTGAGTGAACTAGAAAAGCTTGAAAAATCATCAGCCATAGCCTGTCTACACGCTATAGAATCAGGCCACAAAATTGATTTCGACAATATTGAAATAATCCTGGAGAATTTCAGAAACCAGAAACAACGTCTAATATCATCAAAAGCACTTCACATCAAATGGAATCCAAGTTGCCTGAATAGGAATGATGAACTAAACAGAATTTGACCTGGTTACAACACCCCCCTCCCGCATGAAATGACAAAATCAACACGAATGTGATAAGCGATTTCATTGTGTAAACATACGCTGCTTTTATAATTTTACACACTTGTCAAATCCAACAATCTACACCTGGTTTGTTATCTTTACCTTTTGGCCAATTTGACAACGCAAAAATGACCCCAGACTGAGGAATGATGATTAAGTTGTTATATATAAACTGAGTGGAGTTTGTAAATTCTGGTTTAATAATACCACTTTGATGAAGCTATTAGCAGCAGCATTAAATAGCGAAATGTCAGTAAAAGCAACAATATCGTTTTGTTTTTCATTCATTGGGAAATACAACAAAACCTTTATTATAATGAATATCATATACCCAATGCCCAAATTTTATCAAACTGTCAAAAGTGAACTTGTTTTGGACAAATATAAGTTAGTGTTCTTTCTCACATTTCTGCTCAGTACAACTCTTTGGTTTGTACTCCCAATATTGCGAAATATTTTATTTATAATGGGAGTGGTTGTTTCTTCCCAATATCCTTGGCGGCCTGCTTAAAACTCTGGCTACCAAAAACAACCTCCATTAATATACTGGAATATAATTTCTCTTATCCAATTTGTTTAAATTGATGAGGAAGTTATCGTAGAGAATATTCTTTGTTCAGTCACTAGTTTATCAAGGGCTAGAGGAGGAATAACACCTCAATGCTTTTTTCTTTCGGAAACAGAGCTTTCGCTTAGTCGATCTTATTACCTTACCGTCAGTCATTTGAAGAAGGCACAAACCGACTGCGCATGCTAGTATTATTCATTGATGATTTTTCATAGCAAAATCCATATTCGAGCCTAGGTGGTGCTTTATGTCTACTGAGTATCCCTAAATAAAATTTCGACTGACCCAGCTTCATCCATTCCAAACAGACGGGCGTATGTCTTTGACTTTGAAAATACCACTGTCTAATCGCAAACTCGATGTTATCTGATCTGCAGAAATAAATAGACTGAACATGTATGACACTAAAGTGTAATTAGGGGAAGTTTATTTCAGTCTCAGTTTTAGCATTAGACAAGTATTACCATTTAAACACAAATATCTTTTTTGTGTGTTAGAGTTTCACAAGTTGTGTCTCCATCGTAATGTGAATGCGAACTAGTGGATTTTCTGTTCATTGTCATTAGTGTATATTTATAATTATAATGAACTATATTAACTTCTATAAACTTTTTAAGATACCTGGTTTAACTTAAAATATCTCGGTGTTAACTAGATGTTCAAGTATTGGTTTGTAGGGATTTGATAGATTGGTTACAGGATTTCATCATCAGCTTACTGTGGGAGTACTGGACAGCCAGCTGTTTCGTCCTAGTTCGAGACTCCACCTCATCAGTACTCACCCACACTGTCGGGTTCGAACTCAGGACCTTCTGGTTACAAGACGAGCTGGCTCGTAGACCATTCAGACACTGGGACTTGATCCAAAGTCCAGTCCAAGAATTCCAACTTCTGCCAACTCACGACATGGTGTGACCACTAGTCAATGTCTTCGGCGAGTATTTTTCCTCACACCCGACCTGCTTCACCCTACTGATCACGACTTCCCGCTAGAAGCCCAAGTAACTACCTACCTGAATATGGTCAGTCTCTAGTGAGCATCTCATTGATATTCAATTATTGGTTGTCGTCAATAACTTATGTCTGAAACACTTTTGTTTACTTCACACACTACTGATTGAAATGAGTAGCTTATCTCCTTATTTATTTTGTTCCTTAAAGTTCTGAAAGGAACACAGGGCTTCAAGTTAGAGCTTTACAGTTTCGGTAGCAGTGATGTTTATTTTTACGGGGTGACGTTGCTAGCCTCATGTCAAACCTTCCCTCTTTACTCGCCTTACTGCCGGCTTAGCGAGGTGAAGGAGTGCATCCGCTGGGTATTGGACCTCGGATGACGTGGGTGGTTGGTGAGCCTTCTACCACTGAGCCACCAAAATGAGTAGTTAGAAACCACTTATGTCAAACATTTGTGCACTCTAACTGGATCAAATTAATCTGAATACTGTATGACTGCTTTGCTTATTCAGAATTCAGTGATCAACAACGTATGCGGAAACACGCAGACTAGGAAGTCAAAAAACAAGTTCAAGCCACCTTGATTCTGGCAAGCTACTTGGGTGAAATGGTAATACCTGGAATTCGGGTGGTTCAAAATGACGTGAGTAGTTATCACTTACTGATACCTATCAGCAGTACATACCAAACGCAGCGTTAAATGATTTTATGCTTGAGGACCTGACAATTTCAGATTTAAAAGTGAAACGATTGGTTATTAGGCAGTAAACATTGTTACTTTGCCTAACCCTCACTGTTACGGGACTTCGAATTGCATTTCTCTGACGTCATGACTGCTTTGCATAACTTAATGACTGATGTTGTTGAATGCTAGAAAACGTTTACTGAAAAATACTCACTATAGCCGAAAGACATTACAAATCGATTAGCCATCTCTTACAACAGCTACTGTTTCGAGCGTCTCTTAAATAAGTTTCAAGATGACTTATAGTTATCTAATATAATAACTGAAACTGAACAATAAGGTCCAGTTTTCGAGTAAACAGATCAATTATCTGTGTTTAATTCTTCAAGGCGTTCTCCACCTTATCATCAAGATTTGTTGGTGAGGAACATGCTTGTATTTGTTATGCTGCCACTAATTCAAGCAAAGTCAAATAGGAAATATGATAGACTGTAAACTTTCAGAAAACCTTTAGGTCTATACTCGAAGAAATGACTTCAAGTGAGACAAATATGAAGCATTATTCCTTCATCTTCATATTCAAGTTTTGAATTACTAATCATCAATATATACTTATTAATTTGAAAATTCCCATTCAGTCATAGAAAAGAAAAGGCATTCAGCATACTTATTATTCACAATAACTCACATTTATGAAGGATTTAAAGCGTTTACTGTTTCCGCCTTTAAAAAAATCCAGCATATGCGCTAACCACCATAATATCTGTGTGTTTAAGATATTCACTCAATTCAAGCGTATACATTATGTTTGCCAATTGGGAATGATAATAAGCATCTACTGGGCTGTAATTTGATTGATTCATTTGTAAATTTGGCCTACTCACATGATTGTGTTGATGATTTCTAAAGCATACATTAATTATTCTTGACGATGTACCTTTCAATAATAAAGGTAGCAGTAATTGTGTCAGCAGGAATGAGGAGAAATAATTTACACCCATTGTCATTTCAAAGCCATCATTAGTTGTTGTATACTTCTTTACACTTTTTATATTTGCATTGTTAATGAGAAAATCTAATTTATTATGTGTTTCTATTATTCGTTTTACAAATTCTCTGATAGACATCAACGAAGTGAAATTGATTACTTCAATCACCAGCTAAATGTTAAATAAGATGAGAAATAAACAAAACAAAAAAAGTAAAAAGAAACTAATCTTCATGACTAAGTATATGAACACCACGAGATTTATGCTTTAAAAGTGGTTACTAAAATTATCTGTCACATTGCCGCAAACAAATAAGAGAAATAAATCAATTCTACAACTCTTTCTTAGAAAATTCAAAAGGAAGGTAATTCTTACACATTATGTTTAAAATATTCGAAAGTAGAGATTCGAAACAGTTTGTCTCCTTAGTAAAAATCTAGATCAAGAGCGAAATCGAACTTTCGAAATATTCGGCATGTTGGCCAACGATAAGGCATTTCAACTTAAATTTCATTAACACTCTGGGTCAGTCAGAAAATCAATAAAGATAAGAACTACTGAAGAGCTGCTCAGTGAAAGTCTAAGATTCTTCAATAACGTGCACGCATGAACAAGACATGAATCAGGAGAAAATAGTCACTTTAAGAACACTATATTCCCTGCTGCCATAGGGTTGATATTCAACAGTCCATGAATATCTTGTTTGCTGACAAATGTTGACTCATCGCGAAAATATCTTCATATCAGTCGAATTTCAAAGAATACAGCAATTAAAAATGCATTACCCATTCTTTTCTAACCTGGTGGATATGATTTACTCAAAATTGACTCTTAAAAATTTAAAAAGACTTGCTAATGAAAAAAGAATATTCTTTGCTACCTACTTATTATTAGCTTCTACAATTATGTATATTATAGCAATAAGTAAAGAAACATTCTTAACAACAACAAAATTAGTGCTTTGAATCACATCACATCAACAGCATCGACACATCCCATTGAAGAAGCATCAGTAAGGGAGAGGGAGATAATGACCATTAATAAAACACTAAGTTGAACATCAGATAAATTAAGGAAGGTAATACAGAACTTATGCATTTAGAAGCCCGAGAGAAGGCCAGGACAGTAGTAGTACTAGTAGTAGTAGTAGTAGTACTAGTAGTAGTAGTAGTAGGACCTGTTTCCTCTTCTACACACACAGCTCCAGTTCATGTGAGCGAATTGCAACGGCCTCTGTCTATTTGGAGTGTTTGGTGTCTAGAAGCCTTTGGTAGTTTATTCGATAACCAGTAGATGAAAGCGGAAGATTCTTCAATGTTAAATATGGGGCCTGTTGTGGTTTAGGTGGTTCAATATATAACTGTTGATGTTTTTAACAACACCTTTGTTTAACCATACTAGTAGGCGTTTTCGAGTAGGAAATTTAGCTTCCTAGAGCAACTGCCAACCATTTATATTATTAACTACATGAGAACGTTGGTAATAGTGTATTATAAATAGACACATGCTTCTTTTTAATTTTTTCTCAGTCGTTAGGATTATCAATCAGTCATGATGCGTAGATAACTTTTGTAAAAAAGAAAGTGATAGCATTTGTACAACTCATAATAGTAGCTTAAACACAAACCACACACTTCCTTGAAGACTTAAAAATAAATATTGCAAATTATCACACATATCACGTAAATTAATGCTGACAAACGAATGTATGATCTAATAGTTCAGTATTCCCCTATCTGAAGACCATTTCTTGGCTGTAATCTCATTTGTAACTACTGAAAAAGATAGACAGACACTCAAAGGATACAATGCTTATCTATTAATCTGTTTTTGACTTTCACCTTTGAGAAAAGTGTACTGATTCGAAAATTTAAATTATATGTGTGAAAGTGTTGAACTGTTTAATTGTGATAATTTAATTTTCCAGTCGTTGAATTAATTTCATGTCATGTTTTAATCAAAGTATTTGATAAACAAATTCTAGAAAATTATCTGTAGTAAAATTTGTTATTTTTTGTATAATTTCCTTAACAGTCTAAGTCATTCATTGGCTGTTTATTCGTGTCTTGTCTAGCATAATCACTGGTTAAAATAGCACATGCATTTTCAATGTTTTTGTGGCGAACAGTTATTTTAACCAATAGAAAAGACTGAAATGCTTAAGGGAAATAATCAGTTTATACAAAGTGAAGGAAAATAACCTATAACTATTTGAATTATGAGTGAAAGAAACTGTTGGATTTTGGACGAAATTGTGCTGTATTCCAAAAAGATTAGACGGAAAAATTGGAATAGTTACAGGATGTTATATTGGTGCTGGTTTAGGTATAGTTGGAGAAGTGGCAAGACGCGGAGCAGCAGTGATTATGGCTAGTCAAGATGTGGATAAGGCTGAATCAGTTAAAATTCATTTAATTGAGAAATATGGTGTCAAAAATCCTGATCACTTGAAAACTGATATATCGTGTAAAGAAATAATCCCTTGTCTTACGCCTATTGAAGCACATCAGGTATGTGAAACTGTATAGAATTTTAGTTTATGAATAATATCTGATCGTAGAAATAGACCTCTAGAGACAAATCATTGTGATTACTTATATTGCATAGAACGAATTGCTTTATCCACTTGTCCATTAGGTTATAACTTATTATTCAAACAACTGGCAATATTATGCTAAACCCTTTTTCTATGCTATACCAAATTCCACTTCGAAACGCTGACAACACTGAACACTGTGTTCATAAAATCTGGCCAACACATTAGAAGTGCAACAAATAAGCAAGAAGAAATGGAGGTGGATTAGCCATACTCTGAGGAAACCATCAAGTGACATCACTAGACAAGCCATTGCTCGAGTGGAACCCAAAAGGGAAGCGGCGAGTTGGTCGTCCAAGTGTGACTTGGACGAGGTTATGTGAAGAGGAGATGAAAGCATGTGGGCAGACTTGGAGTCAGGTGAAAACTTTAGCAGAGAACCGAACGCAATGGAGACGTGTGGCTGAAGCCCTATGTTCCTCTAGGAATTAGAAGAAGTAATAATAATAACAACACATTAGAAAACAAAAACTAATTATCATAAGTAGGTAACTAAGGCCTACAGCGTATAAGCTGTAACTACTGGCATAATTTACAATAACAAAGCGTTTCAAGGTAGATTTTATGACAGACTAATGTCAGTTAGATAACCACTAAAGACTACACAGCAGTAGATAACTCTTTTGTCACAGATTGGAACTCTTTAACAATTTGTATATATATAATCCAATAATGGATTAGGAGAAAAATTATTCATTTTTCGATCTAAGCACATTGTTGTTCACCCAGTGGGTTGGAATTCAACTGCCTGCGAATTTAACATGCATGCTCCCAGATGCTAAATGGTTGCTTACCGAATTTCCGTTTGTTGCAAAATATGCCTTTAAATCAGTCAATAAAATCGCAATAAACCCAGTATTTTGGAATAACAAGTGTAAAAAGATATAAAGATATAAAATAATAGAACGAATTAATAACCGATGATGTTTTAAAAAGAATATTCTTTGCCACAAATTCGTCATCAGCTTCTACATTCATATGACAGTACTAATTAAAGAAATAATTTTACTAACAGCATTAATGTTTTAAATTACATTCAACCTCCTCTGAGGAATCTTATCAGAAAATTCCCATTTTATTGCCGGTATATGGATGAAACCCCCATTCCCTATGAAAATGATTTGGATAGGAATTAAGTAATACCTCAATTCACAGAAGTATATTGAGCTATCATATTTACATGTGAGGAAGAATCTTAGCCTTCTTAGACATCCTGCTGACAGGAAGACCGAGCGGTAGCATAAAAAGGAATTTACATAAGAAAAGTACTTCGATTGGTCAATATACAGATTTTCAAAGCTTTGTTCCTACTCTCTCGTAAAAACGTAAACAGACCCAGCTACAGGGTCAGAGCCATTTCTTTAGAAGTTGAGACTGACGACGAACTTAAAGTTGTATACGACAGGTTAACTGGAAGCAGATACTCTGAGAAGTTCGTCATGAAACATATAACCAGGAAAGTAGAAAAGAATTCTCCGTTATCTGTTAACAGGAAGTATATATATATAAACAATTCAGAGGAGATATACCAGGTTAAATAATAGCCTACAAGCTGAGAAAATCAATCCAAAGAACGTTCAATGCCGGAGGGCTGCAGCTAATATTTTCCACATAACAGTCTACAATTCCGGAAGTGAAAGACCAAGTACCTAGGCTGGCCACCTTTGATTATATTTATCAGTCAGTTGCCCCTGTGGAACCTAATTTTTCCTACTCGGGAACACCTAACAGTACAGTTAAATAAAGGCGCTAATAAAACCATCAACAGTTCTATGTTGAACCACCTAAACCACAACAGGCCCCATATTTAACATTGAAGAATCTTCCGCTTTCATCTACTGGTTATCGAATAAACTACCAAAGGCTTCTAGACACCAAACACTCCAAATAGACAGAGGCCGTTGCAATTCGCTCACATGAACTGGAGCTGTGTGTGTAGAAGAGGAAACAGGTCCTACTACTACTACTACTAGTACTACTACTACTACTACTAGTACTACTACTGTCTTGGCCTTCTCTCGGGCTTCTAAATGCATAAGTTCTGTATTACCTTCCTTAATTTATCTGATGTTCAACTTAGTGTTTTATTAATGGTCATTATCTCCCTCTCCCTTACTGATGCTTCTTCAATGGGATGTGTCGATGCTGTTGATGTGATGTGATTCAAAGCACTAATTTTGTTGTTGTTAAGAATGTTTCTTTACTTATTGCTATAATATACATAATTGTAGAAGCTATTAATAAGTAGATGGCAAAGAATATTCTTTCTTAATTAATCAGTCTTATTATTGTAGAGAAATAAGTCTGCTGTGGAATTTGCTTATTAATCATGGGAACAACGGAAACACAATTGCACGGAAGCAAATGTTGTCTTTTCGATGTCATCAACTAGACTGTATATTATTGAATATAGAACAAAGGGGTGGGAAAGTTGCGGAACTATTTCTGGTCAGAAGTCAAAATGTGATGAATAGGTAGGCGACGTTACATAATGCGATTGGGGAATAAATTAAGAAGATAAACAGAAAGTCTGGTTGATAAC